AACTACAAATGAATGGGCCCCCCCCCCCCCCATGTCCCCATCCCATTCTCCATGCCAACATATTTATAACAGCCCATGAAAGCTTGTTCAAAATATTGTTTAGTTTATAAAACACAAATCTACCCTACCTTTTACCCGACTTCACATTAACACAGCAAACTACATCTCTCTACTATTTATACTTCTTTGGCAATCCCTTGCAGTCAAGGATGATTGTCTTCCACGATTGTCTTATCTGTACGTCCAAAGATGGCTGATGAGACCTATCTAGGATCAACAGCCTCTACTCAAGTTGGCATTGAGAATGTCCCTGAAGCGCTTTCTCTGCCCTCTTCTTGAGTATACATCTTGGTTGATATGGAAGAATAAAACTTGCTACGAAAGTCTGGAGCCAGCCATTGGATGACACGGCTGGCCCAATGAAGTTTACATCAGATGATCATCACCTCAATACTTGTGGTGTTTGCTTGCAGGAGGATGCTAACATTAGTGTGTCTGTCTTTCTCCTGGATTCAGAGGATCTTCTGCAGACAGCATTGATGGTACTTCTCCAACAACTTTAGATGTCTCCTGTATATTGTCCGTGTCTCAGCTCCATACAGTAAGATGGGGTTCATGACTGCTTGATAAACCACAAGCTTGATTTTGGATCTGATGTCATGATCTTTGAATACCTGTTCCTTCAAACAGCCAAAGGCTGCACTTGCACATTTGAAATGATGTTGGATTTTTGCATTGATGTCAGCCTTCCATGAGAAATGGCTTCCAAGGTATAGGAAATACTCAACTTTCTCCAGAGACTCACTTGGATCTGGATGACTAGAGCTGGGTACTGTTCATTAGGAGCTTGTTGGTGGAGGACCTTTGTCTTCTGAATGTTAAGCATCTGTCCCATGTTCTTGTATGCCTTGGTAAAGATGTCAAAGATTGCCTGAAGGTCTGCTTCCAAGTGAGCACAAACTACTGCCTTATCAGCATACTGGAGCTCAATGATTGAGGCTAGGACGGTCTTAGCTTTGGCTCAGAGTCAGCTGGAGTTAAACAATTTACCATCCATTTGGTAGTTTAGCTCCACTCCGGCTGGAAGCTTACTGTTGGTCAGATGTAACATTGTGGCAAAGAATACTGAGCAGAGTGTTGAAGCAATGATGCAGCCTTGATTAATTCCTATTTTAATCTCAAAGAGATCTGTGATAGATCCATTACCAAGAACCACCTTCCATATATCATCATGGAGCAGGCAGAGAATGGTGACAAATTTCAGTGGACATCTGTGCTTCAGAAGGATGCTTCACAACACTCCTCAGCTGACAGTTGAAAGCTTTCGTGAGGTTAAAGAAGGCTATGTGGAGAGGCTTATGTTGTTCCCAGTATTTCTCCTGCAGCTGGAAAGCTGGAAAGAACATGTCCATTGTGCCTCTTGATGCCCTAAACCCACACTGAGATTCCAGGAGGAGCTCGTCAGCAAATGGAAGGAGACAGTTCATGAGGTTTCTTGTAATGATCTTTCCTGAGGTGGATAGCAAGGCAATCCCTTTGTACTTTCCACAGTCGGACGAGTCTCCTTTCTTGAAGACTGTCACAATCATGGCATCCCTGGAATTTTATGGGATTTCCTCACCATTCCAGGTCCTTAAGATGAGGGCATGAAGCTGTGTTGTGAACTCCTCTCCCCCCTATTTGATGATTTCCACAGAGATTCCATCCAGGATGACTCCTCTTTCCTTGATCAGGTCTCCTTCATCTTTATGTCTCAAGGGGGTTGGTCCCTGAGTGCTCAGACTATATATGGCTTTGTTGGCACTGAAGAAACCACACATTATGGAAGTCAGTGAGATGTACCTCCTTAACCTTGTCCTCCTCCTTTGGATCTCTGCCTTGGCTTGTTGGAGACTCAATTTCTTTTGCTTGGAGTTGGTGTCATGTTGCCAAGCACAGAAGGCCTTGCACTAGCAATTGACCAACTCATGGATCTCCTGGTTGTTCTCATCAAATCAGTCTTGATGTTTCCTGGTAGAGAATCCACATGTCCCTTCTCAAGCACTGATAACAGTGGCCTTGAGGGCACCCTATATGATGCTGACATTCTCCCATTGTTGGTGATTGGAATTCACCAGTTTTTCATTGAGGCACTCACTTGCTTGGGTACTCGAGTCCTTCAGTGTTAATTTTCTGTTGGTTTTTCTTTTGCTGTAGCTGTTGTTTGGGAGCCAGTTTGAGTGACATAACTGAGTGGATGAGTTTGTGATCAGTATAGAAGTCATCAGCTCCTAGCATAGTTTGGCTGATGCAGACATCTTTGTCATCCCAGGCACCAATGATGACATAGTCAATGAGGTACCAATGCTTAGATCATGGACGTTGCTGTGATGTCTTGTGCTTGTCTTTCTGGTGGAACAGGGTGATGGTGTGTCCATGTTTCACACATTTGGTCAAAATGAAAATGCCATTAGAGTTGACCTTTCCCAATTCTTCTTTGCCAATGGTTCCATTTCAGAGGCTAGAGTCCCTTTCGATGCTGATGTTGAAATCACCAAGAAGTATAAGTCTGTCTCCCTCTGGGACATCAGAAAGGACTTGGTCAAGGCTGGTGTAGAATTCCTCCTTGGTTTCATCAGCAGCATCAAGAGTCATGGCATAAGCGCTGATGACAGTGGCATATTGGATCTCTACCTGTTTAAGATGGAGTCATGAGGCTCCCATTAATTCCAATAGGGAACTCACTGAGTTGGTTTATGAGTTCATTCTTAATGGCAAAACCAAACCTGTAACGCTGGCATTGTCCTTCCTGTTTACTCTTCTAGAAGAAGGTATAGCTGCCTCTATGTTCTTTGAGCTGCCCATCTCCCACTTGCTGGGTCTCAATGTTACATCAGTGTTGTGTCGCCTCAGTTCTGGGGCTACAATTGCAGTGTGGGTTTCTGGAAGTTCACTGTTAGGGTTGTCTATCAAGGTCCTCATGTTCCCAGCCCCAAAAATGATGGTGTGTCTTCACTAGTACTTTTGAATTCAGTAGGAGATGCCACTGGACCTGGTTATCCAGTCAGGAAGAAATACATAATACTATTTTAGACAGGCTATGTTTAGGGCACCTCTTCTATCTCCCTCCCCATGTGGGGTGAACAGACCAGCTTCTGAAGAGGGCTGCTCAGTCAGAGTTACAGCTCCCAAATTGCATTCCTATCTCATTCAAGTGCTAGCTGCTTTTCTTATAACTGCTGCCCCTTCTTGACTAGGAGCTTACAGACCTCACAGTCCTGCTCCTTTCACTATTAGCTGGTCATGAAAAGGCTTGAGGAATGTGCTGGAAAAGCTGTTTTCATGGAAGATGACTGTGTGTGACTTCTTTTATTGTGCTGCACATCAACTTCCACATGGCTCTGGACAGAATGGGACCTTGATCCATTGGGAAGGAGACCAAGGCAACTGGGGATCTCATTCTGCTGCAGCCTTCATTGACTTCTATGGTCACTGAGATTCTAACATCTTCTTCCACCTGCTCCACCACTGAGGACTTGTAGACCCATAGCTGGGGATGGGCAGGCTTATTAAAGTAGCAACCTTTACTTGCCATTTCACAGCACCATCAAAGGATATATGTGGCTTTTCAGGAGGGAAAGCATTGCCATCTGCTGTCCTCACCACATGCTGTCAACTACTACATTCTGCCACTGCTTGGTCCATGACTGCTTATTCGTCAGAGTTACCACTGCTTATTTTACAGCTAACCTTCCCTAAAGGTCATCTCACTATCTACCACTTGTGGATGCCTCCATCATCTAGCCTTCCAGATTATCTTACATATCAACTACAAGACTATAGGATCTGCCATTAACTGGGTCAGACGATAGGTCTGTCTTGCTCAGTATCCTGTGTCACACAATGCTGAAAGGAAGAGTGAATACAGTATGACCAGGATTTTTCCCCTGCTCCTCTCTGACTTGCAGCTGCCAGCATTTAGAGTCCAGGCTGTACCCTAGGTCCTACTCATGGGTGACTGGTGCCACCTAAGTTAGGGGGGGCACGTGTTCCCCCTCCCCACAAGACCAGTCAGTGACTGGGGTGGGGGTCCTCCCACGGCGGCACTCCCACTCCCCAGCCAGCACTCACAGGGGGGCACCGGTGCTCCCACCTGCCGCCTCTGCCCTAAGAGGCGAGCACAGCTTGTACTGATTACCCCCATGCACTCCTGTGCACCCTCTACACATCACTGCTGGTCCTACTGAACATGAAGGGCGGTTCCAGATACATACCAACAGCAGTGCAGTACAAAGGATAGCACCCACTGCAGCTTTCGTTTTCCCAGGACTGTTTATGTATTTTACATTAAACAGTCTTTCGTTAAAAACAGAAATGACCCTGGCAGCAGGAATCAGAACCTAGTGGTTTTGAGCCCTCACATGGTGAGGAGTGCCTGTAATCCAGATTTCCCACTTCCTGGATGAGTGCTCTAACCTCTAGGTCTGGGACAGAAGTTTCATAAATCAGTTTGACCCAAATCAGTAGAGTCTGAGACTACATTCAACCAGGTTTAGCTTAAACCAGTTTCAACCATTTTGAAACTGGTTTATGTGCACTGAGCTTCAGTTCTGTTACAGATTTAAACCAGCTTCTGGTGACTTAAACTGATTTGTATGTAACTACTGTTCCTAGCCCTAGACTATTTTGCGAAAGGCAGGAACTAGGTCCAGAGTGACTGTGGATGTTGTACTTTATATTAAGCTGTGGGTGCTGTAATTTGCTATTGTTGGTGTCAGTCAGGCTCCAGCTGTTCTATGTGGGCATCTAATAAATAGGGGACTTAGGCACTTCCCAGGTAATGAAATGGTCTGGCTATAGAGATACCAGCTCTGTTCTGGATTGCATTGGTGGACTTAGGAGCCTGATGTGTATCCCTTGTGCATGTATAAAAAAGCTTCAGACTAGTCATCTGTAGATGTGTTCAGGCCAAAGTGAAAGCACCAAGTAAATCTAAGCCCTTCTGATTTTATGACTGCAAGACAAGGGGATCAATTAGGACTGCTTTTTGTAACTTTGATTCCTAAATTCCATGTAGAAGCCAGTAAGAATGATCTGGCCAAGAGCACTCAGTATCTTGACCAGGAGTGTTAAACACACTTTTTGGACACTAATATTAGGCAACCTTTTTGTATAGATTTCCTATTCTTTTAGCACAGTAGGTCAGCCCTGTGTGTCACTGATAACTGGAAAAAACATTGGGAATTGCTCAACTACAAAGTAGCAATAAAGCAAACAAACACCATAAAAAGGGTAATGGATCACAAAATGTGCTTGTTCATTTATTTTGACTGTTGTGGTTTACCTTAATTGTTTATGATGTTTCATTGTATCCTGTAAACGGTTCTATGATCCATTATATAAAAGATAATAAAATCTGGGGTAGGCATCTTTGTTACATTCTTTCCTATTAAATATTTGCTAAAAGGTGGAAGCAGATGGATCAAATTTTATGTGGTGGCTGTACTCTTTAATATTATTTGGTGAAACAAACACAAGGCTTTGTAGGCATGTAGAAAAACAAAGGGTACCATTCCCAGTAACACTAACACCCATTTATATATTTCTAGCAGAGTAAAGGATCCTGAAAAAGCAGGGAGAGGCCTCACTTTATTTGAGGATAAAGTCCAAAGTAATTGATATGATGAGGCTCTCAAAAGATCCCCCAAAACCTACATGAGGCTAAAATATAGGGCTCCTGGTGTGACAAAGAGACAAATAGTGCACTGCACATAATCCTTAGAGGCTGAGAGGGGAAAATTCTGGTTAACACTGGGGGAAATGCCTACTTAGGCACCAAATCCAATTGCCTTAAGTTAAAAAACTTACTGAAGACAATGGGAGCTTGACTGAGGCGAGGACGGTAGAATTTGGTCTTTTTGAAAAGTTTCATGGACTTGTTAGTCTTCACACAGAGCAACTCTGGTGCCATTCATATTATACCATATTATATATCATGTCATATTGTATCATGTCATAGCATAATAGGGCATGTTTTATGCTCCATGGGAGGAAAAAAAAAGATCAGAATGCTCTATGGTTTTCTTGAGGTTTCCTAGGGTCAACCTGTTCCAGGTGTGCAGTTTCCTACTAAGGACTGGGCAATAGATGGGCCTTTCACATCTATCAGAGACATGCCCAGCAAAAATCTTTAGAAGAATCCCATGGATCTGAGAATATCCGTAGGGAGCTCAGTCTTTAATCTGAAATGTTTTTCTTTGATTACTTCCCTGGTTTTTTTTCTCCTGACAGCCAGATTCTTATGGAAAGTACAGTAAACATGTAGGAATGCAAAGTTATGGTTCCCATATGAATGTAATAAAAACTTTGAAATTTCTTATTAAAATCTTGTGATAGCCTTCAAATGTTTTATATGACAAACAGCCCAGGAAAAATGTGGATAAAATGCACTAATGTAAGGGTTGTGATAAGATAGTACAGTACTCAGAGTTTGTTCACCACAATGTGGAGTGTGTTTATATCCTAATATGTTTTTTCTAATTTTCATTGACATATATATGCAGGCTGGCAGGGAAGAGTCTTTTGATAAGAACCCATGCCCTAGTTCTGTGAACACAGATATAACTGTGCAACTTTATTTACACAACTCCATTGATTTTGACATACCAACCACTGCAAAGGACAGAGGAAGGTGGGAATGTGGGGGAGGATACAGAAGTTTAATTTTACTTTAGGCATTGTTTTAAATTTGTATCTGTATAGAATGAGTGATTTTACAATCAGATCAAGTAATATTTATGTTAAAATCTAAGCATAATGGCAATACCCATATTTGGGAAAGAGGTATTTGCTCTTGACTGGGTGCCCAGTTTTCTCTGTACAATTGTAGACCTTAACCGAGGTCCAGTATTATAGCTTTTCCTAAATGCACATGCAGGAATGTAGAGGGGAATAGGGCAGTCATGTGCACGTTAACTCTCTCTCTTTCATATAGCATTAGGTATCAACTTCCAAATCTATGAGCCAGTCCGATATTATCGCTCAATATGCAGATTGCATCTTCCCCATCTCGACATTTGTAAATATTTCAGCTTTTGGTATAGTGCTGTGCTGTTTGTTGGTCACTGCATTTGCGGCTGTCCAAGATGTTCATCTTGTGAACTATAGTTTTAAAGTGTCTGTATCCAGATGTCAGTTTGTTCAGCTTGACCCATGCTTCTCTGTCAAGGTTGTACCCAGTAAAGGACTTGTTTGGTGTTGTTATGAAAAGCTGTAGGAATAGGTCTGAGCTTTCCCAGAAGTGGAGCAACTCCATTGCTACCCATAGGTTTGGTTCAAAGCAACCCTGATCTCTTCCAGGAGCTTATGGCTTCATGTATAAACAGTTTATAAGTTTTAAGCTTTTTAAGCTTCCACCTATTTGGGTCTTCAGTTAGCAGTCTCTTGCCTCTATTGCCAGAAATGATGTTAGGGTCTGTCTTCTTTTGCCACTTGGTCTAATGCCTGAGAATACAGGGAGTACATCTGTATGTGTGTAAGCTATGCAGTTATTTTTCCAGTTTTGATACATGCTACTCACACGGCAGCTACTGCAAGGTTTCTACTACCCCTGTGGTGACAATGGTTGAGTGAGAATGGACATGAAGTCTTGTATTAGAAGCTTTTGTCTACTAGCCAGACGTGCCAGCCAATAGCACTAAACTAAAACGGTGAGGGAAGGGGGCCTACAGATACCAACAGAGATTATTCCACAGTGAAAGCAAGGTTTAGTCAGGGAAAGAACTGTAACTCAGAATCATGTTTTCTCCCTAGATTGACCCTGAGGCCACACATCTCTGTGCTGTCCCTTGCCAAGAGTGGTGGATAAGTCTCTCAGTTGAGCCTTCAGTTATTAAGATACAATTGCCCTGTAAATTGCCCAATAAGCCTTTAAAGTATATGACAAACCTATGTCCCGATGGTAGGCTGGATGCACGATCAACATTATTAAATAATTTTCCCTTCTTGGTCAAATAGCCAAATCTCTGGTGTGTATCATGGAAAACATGCAATCTGCAGAAAGTGAAGTCAAGTGAAAAATATGCACATATATTAAGAGGGTTTGGGTAATGGGGGGGGGAGGAAAGTATGCATGTTATGTAGAATTTTATTACATTCACTACCTCCTATTAATTATCACAAGGAACAGTCTCATTAACTGGGGCACACTGTGTACAGATATGCTATGATGAAAACCCAGCTCACAAGGGTAGCACACAACAATTAGTCATGTTGGGGTCCTTTTTAAGGAAAACAGTACAACTTAAAGGAATTTATATGAAAATAAACATGGTTAGAAAGAGAGTGGGATTAGACATTTATGAGGCTGTATGATGAAAGCTATTGCACCATCTTGGATTAGTCCCATCTTTATCTTTACTGCCATATTTTTGCAACATGTTTGAAGTAGTAAATGGTCTTGTAAATGTTCCTTTTGGTTTCTTGTTGGTGCAGTAAACTCCCACACATTATTTTTTTGCAATCAAAAATAAAGATAGGCTATCTAGTCATGTGGTCTGGCTGATACAAACCTGTGATGGTCTGAACTATAGTTTACATGTCCTGTTTTTTATCCATACCATTGACAAAGTTAAGTTAAAACCATGTGTTTACTGACCATAACAAGACAGTGCAAACCAAAAAGTCCTCCCACAGGAAGCAACACATCTTTGAAATATTTAAACAGTGGGAGAAGTGTTCAGTAGCCATAAATGGCCTGATCAACCATGCAGAAAATGGAATGTATGGAAATAATTTAGTGAGTCAAATGCCACTCTGAGCTTGGAGGATTTCATGGCAGGATATACTTATATACTATCAACTTATTTTGCAAAATAACATTTAGCTCAGAATAACTGGTAGCTAGGTGAAGGGGGTAGTTGAAAGAGTATGCAAACAAGCAGGAGGATAAATTCTGAGACTGGAGGTTGGAAAAAAATATCTACTGCTAATAAATGTTCCCTTGCAGAAATTAGTGGCTTTTTTTTCACTTGCAAAACAGGACCTTTCTCAATGTCTGTGCTCGGG